AACATATGGAAGGAGTCTGTTCCAGACTGCATTTGTCTTTTGCCGAAGCTCAGACTCTGGCACAGGATCGTGAACGTTGGAAGCAGTGTCTGACGCGTCTGCCTCCACGATCCAAAAGGAGAAGCGGTTGAGGAAGATGAAACTGCAATACGATATTTGGTAGCTATTCGGCTAGCTGCACAATATATCTGGTCAATCAACAAATTCGGTTTGGTTAAATCAGCTACTCGCCTTAGCATTAAACTAAGCGGTGAGGAACTCCTTGAAGCAAGAAATAGGTATTAAGAACTGAAATACACTGAGGCTATCAATGCACGATAGCAAAATAATAGTGGCTTGGTTATCGACCAACAGAACACTACCGTGCTGCATCCAAGTATCAGGAGACTATAGGTACAGGAAAGAAATAACTGCCACATTCAACCGGCGTACGTAAGGAAGATGAACCGTATTGCACGAAAGCACTAACGACACAGAAACAACCGAATGTAAGATAAATCAGTTTAGAGAAGGTTCTATCGCAAGAAAACATACCATTTCTGGATACCGGGCTTAATTTACTAAAATTTTATTTGCAATTTCACTACTCTTCTCGTTTAATGGATCTCCTAATTTGCCACAGTTCTCCAAGACTAACAATTAGCAAGTACTCTGAGAGAGTTTTACTTCTATTTGTTTTTACAGTGCCAAATGCAAAATCCATATGCATTTTAGCGCTGCATATTTGTCAAGTACAGTTGCCGACGTGATGGGAGCTGAAATCAAATATTTCAACGATTTTCAGCAAAATTAAAAATTAAAGTCAGTTCCTGTTGATATGCTAAGTGGACTCTGATACTTGGCAATCTAAGAAAAAATATTCAGAAACTTCTGACTACAATCCCTCTACTAAGATCATCAGCCCTTCCAAACCCATTAATAACTTATTCTAGCACCATTTCTTCAAGTTCATAAACAGTTCTAGGTGAGGGGTGAAATTTCACTGTACAAGTGAAATCACGAAAGACGCTATTTCCAAATGACTCCATGAACAAAGTCATAGTCTTGCGCAATCGCAGCTGCATTAATCAGAAAAGGTAACTTTGAAAAGTTTCCTAGACACTTCAGCGGGTTTGCTTAATTAATACGATTAGCACATATGATTCTGTTTGTATGGGACTATGTGAAAACGGACTGATTTCAGTGAAGCCGATGGACAACTGGAAAGCCCAAATCCGATGTTAGCGCTGACAGCGGCCGGGCAGAGTATCTTCCGTCGAAAAGACATTGTAGCGCAGTTTGCAGCCCATACTTTTAACGAATCTCATTGAAAGAATATCGTTTGTGGATCATTTTTGAATCTAACAGCTTTGGATGATCACTCTTTGCTAGTTCCAAGTATTAATTTGCGTTAGGTGACTTGTCTCTTTGGACATTTACAGAAAGAAAAAAAGGAAAAGGAAATTTTTAAATTTTTAGACACCCACGTTTGATATAGTTTCATGAGAAACTCTAAATATTTGGTGGTGGAGAAGGACTACGTGTGGCATCATTCTTCAAAAAGCGCATGGTGCGGTGTTGATCTCTGTTTCGATCCATAACCCAAGAATAATTTTCTTCGAAGGTAATATCGAATATAAAATGCCCTGTATAGGGCGCAGTTACTCGCTTCTTTCTGTGTACTTCGATGTAGTGTTACTCATTTATCGACCGTCGAAAGAAAAGCCGAGTGACCTGGCCTAAAATCGAACTGTGGATCCAATGCCTCATCAACGTGGAACCTAAATGCTAAGTTTTTCGATCAAGGCGATTTGTGCCCATCTGTTTCATAGAGACAATGAATGGGCAGTCTATGATTTCTGACACTTGTGGAAAGGTTGGTTTTTTTATCGATGATCATTTTTCGTCAGATGACATTTTAGCATGTTGCGGAAAATTTGCCGTGATTGA